GCCGCGGCGTCAGCGTCAGCGACAGCAACAGACGGGGCGGTCGTAACGGATCCATGCGGCGGCGCCGCTAGTGATGCCGCTAGCGCCTCGGCGGCAGCGGCGCCGCTGCCAGTCAGCGCAACCGACGTGAAGCGCAAAACCAGAAAGAAGTCTTCCGCCGCCACCGACGCTGTCGCCGCCGCCGCCGCCGCCATCGACGGCTGGGCAGCATTGGCGGCACCGTTCTCCGCGGAGCCCTTCCGGACCGACCCATGGGACCGTGTGCTGCCGCGGCGGCGGCCGCCGTTGCTGACCAAGCTGGAAGAGGCCGCGGCGGCTGGCCGCTTGGCCACGCCCCATGCGCTGCTGCTGGCGGTGCCACGGGCCGTCGTACTGCACCGTACGACACTATCTGTTGCGGAGTTGGCGGCAGCGCTGGCAGCCAAGAATGCCATACGGTCGCGGGTGGGCAGCTGGCGTGAGGTCCGGGACGAGCTGAGGGACACTCCCGGGATTCCCGTGGCGCTGCATGCGCGGTTCGGGTGGGTGCCGTACCAGGGACGTCGGGGAACTCGCGGTGCCCCAGAGGGGGAGGAGGAGGGGGAGGGGAGGAGTGCCGGATAGGACGGTAGGTTATCCAGCAACTTGACCATTTATGTGTCTGTCTGTGTGTCTGTCTGTGTGTCTGTCTGTGTGTCTGTCTGTGTGTTTGTCTGTGTGTTAGTCTGTGTGTTTGTCTGTGTGTATGTCTGTGTGTATGTCTGTGTGTCTGTCTGTGTGTCTGTCTGTGTATGTCTGTGTGTCTGTCTGTGTGTCTGTCTGTGTATGTCTGTGTGTCTGTCTGTGTGTCTGTCTGTGTATGTCTGTGTGTATGTCTGTGTGTATGTCTGTGTGTTTGTCTGTGTGTCTGTCTGTGTGTCTATCGGTGTGCTCACCATCGCCTGTGTCAGGGGAGGCGGGACGGGAGGGGCGGGAAGGGCAGCTTCAATACCCTACATCATAATGCCCCTACCCCCACCCCCCAACATCGGCAGTTAATCAACCCCCAACCGCAAACAGCCAACCCGAACCCAGATAGACCTCGTAACGGTGGCATCCTTTGCGCCCGGTGACATAGACGCGGGCGTGTGTGTGTGTATGTCGTGTCCCGCAGCGACATCAAGGTTGTACGACTACATCCCCGTGGCTGGGGCATGACGGGGGTCTTGCAGCTACTGCCGGGCCAGATATTGCCGGGGGGGGAGGAGGGGGAGGGAGTGGAGGTTGGTAACGGGCAAGCTGGCGGCAGTAGCAGTAGCAGTACCGCCTTGGGAAGCAGTCGTACTGGCGATGGGAGCTGTGCTTTACCGGGCTGGAGGGAGTCACATCGCATGGAGCGACAGCAACAGCAACAGCAGGAATTGGCGGGCTTGGAAATTGAGGTGAGGAAGTTGGGTAGTGGTTGGTAGTTGGCAGTTGGGATTCCACGGAGGGGGAGGTACTTGAGGTCCGCAGACAGAGCTGGGGGGAGAGAGAAAGGGGGTGGGAGAAGGAAATGATGCCCGCCCGCGACGCACATACACACATATACACATATACAAACAAATACACATACATACACACATTCAGTGCATCTCCTCAGGCCAGCTGGTTCGACTTTGCCAACCCCCGGGCGGACAAGGGCCTGCGCCAGCTGCGGGATTCGTACATAGAGCCGGGGAGCGAGTGGGTGGTGCGGGGAGTCATGAGACCCAAACCCGTGTCAGGTGGGTGCACGTGTCAGCGCGCACGTATGTATGTATGTATGTATGTATGTATGTATGTATGTATGTATGTATGTATGTATGTATGTGTGTGTAGGGGGGTGTTGCTTGTGGTGGGCCCACGTGACTTCATGGCAGGTATGCACATACGTGCTTGTGTTCGTCGGTATGTTTGTATGTATGTGCCAACCTGTTTGCGAAAGCGAGCCCTGGCATCCGCACAGGCCCGGAAGGAGCTGCGGTGCACACACACACACCCGGAGCCCCCAAGAGGAGCCTCCGAAACCACCTGAGGTGGACCTCCGTTTACCCTCCTCCGCCTCCACCTCCGCATTCCGGCTCTAACGCACACAAGCCCCCTGCAATTGCACACCCCCATACCGCCTACACACACACCCTACACACACAAACACACAAACACACGCACAACCCCCTCAGGCCCCCGTTTCGAGGTGGTGGGCCCGGATGTGCTCCCCGCGGCCTCCTTCGAGCCGTCCAGGGACCTCGTCACCACCACATACAAAGCCGCGACACCGCTAACCGCGGGGGAGGTGGCGGAGGTGGCGGAGGGGGTGCTTGGGGCACTGAAGGGCGGGGAGATAGGTGCGCGCTGCCGTGTCTTTGTGTGTATGTATGTCTTTGTGTGTATGTATGTCTTTGTGTGCATATGTATGTATGTCTTTGTGTGTATGTATGTTTTGTGGATAAGCAGGACGTGTGCGTGTATGTATGTGTATGTGTATGTGTGTGTATGTGTGTGTATGTGTGTGTATGCGCGACGTGCGTGTGCGTTCAAAAAAAACCTTCCGCTCCCCCCCTCCACCCTGGCCACAGACCTGCCCGAGCCGCTCCCCCCCACTGCCCGTACGGAGCTACACCGCCTGCTTACGTCAGGAAGTACGGATGGCTACTGTAGCAGCACCAAGACGAGCGGCAGTAGCAACAGCCGTATCAACAAGAATGTCAGTCGGGCTGAAGGCAGCAGTAGCAGTACCACTACACTCTCCTCGTCATCAGCACTACCATCAAAAGCGCTGTCATTATCGACAGCTCCAGAGCCAGCAGAGGCAGCTCTCAAAGCGGCGGTGGCGGCGGCGCAAGACCTCCTGCCGAAAATATCCGTACCTACCCTCCGGGAGTCGTACGACATCTTGCATCGCCCCTTCCTGGAGCATCTGCAACCGTGCAGGGTGATCGAGGGGTATCAAGGCGCGGCCGCCTCCGAGGGTGCGGCTACTGGCTGCCAGAGCGGCCGAGGGTTTGCTTCTGGTGGTGGTGGGTGGTGGTGGTG